TGGTGTATATATATAATATTTATATGATATATATGTATTAAATATAATATAATATCTATATTATAAATATAGATATTCTCTAAGTCTTACAAGTGGCATTTTCCTCCTTTTCTGTAGTTCTTTTTCATAGGCTCCAGCTGTGTTTTCTTATATTTTTAGCTTTATTGAGATATAATTATATATGATGCTGTATAAGTTCAAGATGTGCAATGTAGTGATTTGATATATATGTGTATTGTGAAATGATTATTACAATAAGTTTAGTTAACACATTTGTCACCTCATATAGTCACAGTTTTTATTAAGAAAAGAAGGAAATCCTGCCATGTGTGACAACATGAACGGACCCAAGGACATTATCCTAAGTGAATTAAGTCAGACAGAGAAAGTAAAATATTGTATGGTGTCACTTGCATGTGGAATAAAAAAAAAATCAGAACTCAGAGAAACAGAGAGCAGACTGGTGTTTTCCAGGGGTGGGTGATAGGAGAATGGGTGAAAGTGGTCAAAAGGTACAGATTGTGGTTTGAATCATTGTATTTCCTCAAGCAAAGCAAGTCTCCTAAGAGCTGGTGTCACCCAAGAAACACAGAGTCTGCATTTGTCAGGGACACAGTAAGTTAACAGATCTGAGTCCTATTTCCAAAGCACAGATAAGGTGGCCAAATTCCCTCTCAGCTCAGCATTGGTTAATGTATAATACTCCTGATAAAAGCTCTAGTTTTCCATGGTGGCCTATTTCTTCTACCCATACTGCTTTGTCTTCTAATTTTCTGAAAAATTATAATTTCCAGAATGCTTTCCTTTTTGTCTCTTTCCTAGAATAGTTTCATTGTGGAGATCATACCTTCCAAGTTACACTGTAGGTTTGCTTCTGGTGTTACTTTTGCCTGGATTTATATCTAGCCTCATATTAACTGTGCTATTTTGAGAGAGTTAAATTGGAGTATTCTTGGTTTCACTGTTTGGTTGAGTTGTTGAAGAAATCTTGAAATAATGCACACAGGACATTTCTTACGTTTCTTCTGGAACCCTGAAATGCGCGGGAGTGGGTGAGGCGGTTCTCTTCTTTAACCTCAGCAGCATAAGCATCTTTCAGTGCGTCTGGCCATATCCAGTCATCCCTGCTTCTGCCTTGAATTTGGGGAGACTTAGAGTCTTGGCACATGGCCCTGCTTCTGGGTTGAAAATACTTTCCTAAAGGAGTAGGACTCTCAAGGGCAGGTAGGGTCTGCATCCTGGTCCTCTGTCTCTGAATCAGAAGGCAAATGTCTTCAGGTCTATTTCAGAGAAAAATCAGAAGAGGTAGATTGGGGTTCAGGGACCAGATACTATTTTGAATCAGAATGCACGTCCCACTGCTGAATTTTTGAATTAAGAAAGCATTCATAGCTATCTCCCTTCTCCACCTTTAGTCAACATCTAGCTTCTTTTACACACATGGCGTTATTGGAGCTCAGACTGCCCACATCTTTTCCTTTCACTCTCGCACACATCTCTTCTGCTTTGCCTATTGCTCCCTCTGGGGATGATTACTCCAGCAAAAGTGTTTGCAGGTAATGAGATTTTCTACAAATATGGACAAAATGAAATATATTTATACTGGGAAGCTTTCACTCATGTCTATGTAATCATTCGTGTCATCTTTAGACTGGTGTACCATTCTATAAATGGCAAATGTGTTGACAAGGTGTGAACCATGTGCTTATCTGATCTAGTTACTTAAATGACCTAAACACTATGATCAACCTTTTAAGACACAGATAGACAAGTTATTAATCTTCCTTGCCATTTTGTTAGTAGACTCTACAATATAGTAGTTTTTAGACCACCAGATATTTTAAGTTAATAACATTCAATAAATAAGAAATCAGTTTTCTCCTCATTGTAGAAGGAAGCTAATTGTCATAGGTATCATCTTCCTAGATTAAGTTCATTAAAAATGTGTTCTTTTAGGAAATTTGACAACATTTTCAGCGTCCATTAACTAATAGTAAATTAAAGTGTAACACCTCTGGCACTTCATGGGACATCCGTATGAATACCCAATGAACTCATAATTATACAACAATGAATATCACACCAATTTATAATATAGTTAAAATAAAGTACTTTGGAAGTTTATGTTCTCATCAATTTTAAGAATGAGACATGAATATAGCTCATTGGAGCAATGCAGGCACTCAGTGAGTGTTTGTTTCCCTGTATTTCAGGCACGTACAATGATTTTGAAAACTGAAAAATATACCAACAGTATGCTGGGAAGAGGTGTGAGTATTCAAAAGAGGGGTGCCAGTTTATAGACAATGATTATGAGAAATATTTTTAAGGATAGAATAAAATGACTATCTTGTTTCCAAAGAAATTACAACACAAGTGTAATAATTCGTTATTAAACAACTGAAGGATATAATAAAAAAACATTGAAGGGCATAACTAATGAAAGTATCCGACCCCAAACAGGCTTGGCTAGCTACTTAGAAAGTAAGCTTTTCTGTTTTGCTTTCAAATACAAATTCATTTCTCTACCTTCCCCTTTTCCATCACAGAAGAAAATTTCACCATGTTCACAAATTGTCTTATTAAATTTAATAATTAATATGATAGTGATTTGGGGTAAAAGGCTGATATTGCAAAGATAAGAGAATCCAGGGACACTGACACGGGGCACATAAGATGTGCAGCTGGATGGTTAGGACCCAAGAGAGAATCATTCACGTGCAAGTGAGGGAGAGGAGTTAGTGACGGAGTTAGCATTTGAGATGGGCCTTAAAGAAGGTAACATTGGGACAAATAGCAGTGTGGGAGGTGTATATTAGGTGAAGAACACAAGAGCAAATGCATGGAGACAGAAAAGTTCCACTGTGTTTCTAGAAAAACAAAGATTTTGTGCATATGTAGAATTCATGTCTGTGATTTGTGGGACATAAACACAGAGAGGTAATATAGGGCCCCTGAGGAAACAAGACCTAAAGGGATCAGATAAGTTGGTTTTAATTCCTGGAAGTAGTGTGTGAGTGCCTAGAAAAAGGACAGATGCTTTTTGAGTCATGAGTCATCTGAGCCATGCTCCTGTAGCACTGTGTTAAATGGGTTATGTCAAGGATACAGACACCAGTGGGGTTCTCAGCTATGGGGTTAGTGAGGTGGTGAGTGTGAGTGACAACAGCTAGTGGTGTGGGAAGAGAAAGGAAGCGTGCGGATGTAACAGGCAAGTCTAAATGTGATCGACAGGATCTACGATGAGTGAGGCTTCCAGGCTGCATGTCCACAAGGAATCCTTCTCCAACGTGTTATTGTCGTTGAACGGGTTGCTATTAATTAAATGAAGGCATTGACTACATTTTCCTAAACTAGGTCTTTACAGAAAAATGTTCCCTCATGTATATGTATTATTCTAGTGTAGTTGAGTCATTAAAATTCATTTAAAATGGGGGCCCCTGGGTGGTTCAGTCAGTTACGTGTCTGCCTTCAGCTCAGGTCCTGGGATCGAATCCCATATCAGGCCCTCTGCTCAGTGGGGAGTCTGCTTCTCCCTCTCCCTCTGCCCCTCCCCACTGCTCATGCCCTCTCTCTCTCTCTCACTCTGCACTCTCTCTCAAAAAAATAAAATATTTAAAAAATTCATTTAAGATGATTATAAATATTTTTAAATGAAAAATTGCACTATATCATATAAGTAATACAAATTGCTATATATTAAAAAGTCAGAATGTTGTACATATATAAGATATAAATACATATTTTGTGAGAATAATATGCGGACATCTGCCTGTTGTACAGTGATGTCTTCTCTGCAGTGCCAAAGCGCAATGCAGCCCCTTGACCCTAAATTAGAATTGGGCACAGCCAACTCTTCCAGCCGCGTCCCTTTACGCCCTTGCTTTTATGCTCTACCATCTCTCCAGCCTTTCTGCCCAAGCACAGCTGTCAGGTGTTCCTCTTGTTCCCTGAATGAAAGGGGGCAGAGGGAGGGAGACAGGGATGAAGGGAGAAAGCCAGAGAAGAAATCAGGAGCTCTGACTCCATCTTGCTAGACATACCATCTCAGGCAAGTTAATTAACTCCCTGAAGCTTGACTGTTTTTATTCATAAAAAGGGAACGATAAGATTGTTATGAAAATTTAAAAATGAATGTATTGTGGTATCTGGGGCTATATCAGCCAAATTTGCAGTAGCTACTCAGACTTGCTCCCGCCCTAGTAAGCTTACGCTTTTCTACATATTATTCCACTTCCCTTCTCCCTTTGGCTCATTACTAGAATTCTTGGATGGGTTGAGATTACCATCATGCCTGATAGTTTAGGACAGATGAATAAATGATGGAATTGGTACATTTTGGGTGTTTATTTCTAGCACTTGCCATGGATTTGAATCAGTTCAGTCAAATGCCCTTACCTGGTCTCTTTTACAACTATTGGCAAATATTAACTGTTGACTGGGTCTGGAGTGTGGGCAGTGAGTGTGAAACAGAACAACCTAATGGTTCAGAGCATGAAAATGTTATCTTGGCCTCAAAGGTACTCATGAGTAACCAGCTACAAGTCATCACTTACAAGTAAATAAAAATACTCGGTCACTTTCAGGAGAGTAAGACTAATAGAGAGGAACTAATTTGGTCATCAAAATTAGTATTTTTAGGCAGCCAAATAGGAGGTCAAGTTCCTCAGTCCGTATTTAAATTAGAGCTTATTTTTATTCTAGGTAGTAGGGAGAACAAAAGTTCTTATTTTTAAATTCTGTGGAAATGTGCGAATAAATGCTATTCATATTGTATCTGCCTAAGGCTTTCATAAAAACACAGTTAATTTTCAAAATAATGTATCTATTATATTTTATGTTCATGAGGATAATTTGAAACTTATATTTGTACTCAGGGACTTTTGAACTAAGCAGTGGAACAAACTGCAATAATTAGCTGAACTACAAACGAAACTTGAATGTTAATGTGTTTTTATATAAACAAATTCTTGTTACAGAAGCTTGTTTGAGGAACTTACAACCTTTTGTTATACTCTGTACCTAACTCAGCCATGCAGACCTGGGAGGCACAGGGTGTGGAGAAGCGTGGGGCCAATCCTGCCGCGCCGCGGCTGTCACGCTCCTGCTCTAGAAGACTTGGCTGTAGGCCTGGCCTGTAGGAAAAATCCCTTCTGTTCTTTCCTCCACCATCCACGGCTGCTGGTGGAGAGGAGGGGCCAGCCCTTGCCCAGGGGGCCTGCCTGCATCCCTGTGCATCTCACTTCCCTCTGGACCTAGTTTCCTTATCACCTGCATGCCTGGTGATTTTTGCTATTGGATGCTAAATCCTGTATGTACATTTTACACGTTTGGTGCCAGATATTTTTGTGTGCCCTTAAGTATTCTTGAACATTGTTTTGGGATGCCATTCAATTACCTCCAAACAGTGTGATCTTTCCAAGACTTTCTTTAAATTCTTAAAAGTTTTCCTGCCATGAGCACAGTAAGTCTAGGGTTTTTTCCCTACCGTGAGCCGAGACCCACTGGCTTCTTCTGCCCAATGCCTGTTGAATTATGAGGTTTTTCTACCCTGTGTCGTGGAACAAAATATAACCACAGCCCTGTGCCACTGTGAGGAGGGTTTCCCGTGGCTGCTCCTGGTTTGGGGGGTTCCTTGGGCATGTGCAGATCAGTGTTAGGCTGAAGCCTCTGCAGTTTTCCAGAGCAAATCTCTCCTTGCCTCTGTCCTGAGAACTGTAGTCCCGCTGACTTCCCAAGACGCATAGTTCCACCTTTCCCACTCAGCAAGACTGCCGGGTAGATCTCGGCTCTACTGCTTCACACCGGGCAGTGTGCCTTCTAGGGCACTTTCTGGGGGACACTGTCCTATTCTGCCTGATGCCCAAGATGTGACAGCCCTTGTCTTCTGTAAGCCATCCTGCTTTTTAATATTTTCAGGATGGAGAGTAAGTCTAGTTCTTGTTCCTGCGTCCAGGTTGGAGGCAGAAGTTGAATTGGTCTGAGGGTGTTCAAAATGTTGTCTGTATTGTCAGTTATTTTTAAACAAAACGAAGAATGACACCTTGTCAACGCCTTTGTGAATGGATAGAAGGCAAGACATGGAGACTGTGTGGTAGACTTTTGTGGTGGGACATTGCTGGTGGATGAGGCGACTCTTCGGGACTACTGGAAGGATCTGGGCCAGTGCTGCTGTCAGAATGGATGGTGAAGTATGAGCTGGACTGAGTGGAGCAGTGTTCTCTAACAGAAATAAAATGTGACCCACCATAGATAGTCAAAAATTCTTCTAATAACCACATTTAAAAAAAACAAAATGAAATTTTAATGAGATTAGTCCAATATATTCAAAATATATTCTGAACATTGATGATGTGGCACTAGTCACATTGCAAGTGCTCTTGGCCACATGTAACTATTGGCTGCTATTCTAGAGTCTGCAGATGTAGAGTGAGAAAGGAGAGTTGTAAACACACCTTGGTAAATCCCCAAATTTGAAGAATAGAGAGATGCCGAGGACCCTAATACAAAGGTTTAGAGGGGTCTTTCTAGATTTTAGTTGTCCACAAAAAGAAAGCAGCATTTTAAGTCTATCTCCCAGATTCTCCATAGCATGAAATATTCAAGGTCAGGTCTGAGAGGTGGTCTTCTTCTATCACTGACCTTGGCCTTGCTCCCCAAACCAGTTTCCATTTTGAGAAAAGACATCTTCTTCTCAGGTTGCAAGTGAGCTGGTGACCTCTCAACCTGAGATTTACCGGCCATCTTAATCAATGTAGTGCTAGGTGGTGTTATCCCTGTAACAGTAACTGCGCACATTTATAACGTATCCAGTTCTCAGCCACTCCAAGACTTGCAGTCTAGCAAGTGGGAATCTGGGGAAAGTGTAAGACAACAGTACGACTCCCTTGCTTAGTGCTTTGTGGCTCATTTGCAGCAGTTACATCCAAAATCTCATTTGGGCCCAGAGCCAACACTGCCAGAGACCCAAGGTTCATGGAGAGGGAGGGAAAAAGAGAGTCAACTAAGCTTCTTCTTTTGGTCTCTATTGGTTATTCTTCCCTGCTGCTCTACTAACTTTCTCTGCTTCCTGTTCAACTTCCATGTCATTTTCTCTTTTTTCTCCAACTGTTTTCTCTTCTTTCTTTTGTTTTTTCCCATCTATCATCTCCTGTATTTCCGATGTCTTAGATTTTATTTTATACTATATACATATATATAACCATTTAACTGTCTTGGAGGGATAGTTTTCTTTAATAATTGTTGGTATAATAAAAAAGGTGCACATTTTCAGGGAGTTATGTTCATTTAACTGATTCTAACATGGACTAGAAATTCATGTTTCATGATCTGTTATATTATTGAACACTGTTTTGTGTGCTGGCTTTTATTTTATTTTTATTTAAGCAATATTTTAAAACCATAATTACATTTAAGTTGTTAATTTGCAAAATTTATTTAGTGCCTGCTGTCAGTCTTTTTCTTAAATTAAGAACCATGCAATAAATTAGTTCATACTGGTAATTATATTTTCTGAAATTATTGAAGCAAATCAAAACTAGAATGTCAAAGTATTTTCTCAAATGAAGCTGAACCAAACCCATAATTTAAGTTTGTTGCTAATTCTAATTGCATATAAACACTCCTTATAATAGATTTCTCTACTTCTTCTGGATCATGGGTCTGGAGCTTTGGAATATTACAGTGGAAAAGAATAATCAAAAACAATTCTTCCAAATATCTCATCTTACAGATATTTATGCTGAAGCTAAAAAAGGTTCCCTAATGTGCCCAAGGTCAAACACAAAGTTAAAAGCAGAGGTGGGTTTAGATGAGAAGAGGAGTGAACTCAAACTTGGTGGCCCCTGCTGTGTTCTAGGCAAGTCAGGGACTAGATGCATGCCCTGCACCACCAGTTCCTTGACTCCTTCTCCCATGGTCTCGGTCTGGCTACTGCAGTAGTAATTGTCTATGTTCTTGTTCTTGTTCCCGATCTCTCTATCTCTCTCGATCTCTCGATCTCTTTCACTAATTGAGTCTAGGATAGCGCAAGGAGTAAGGGAACTACTTCCCTAAGAATTAGGTAGGAGCAGAAAGGAATTTATTTCTTTAAAAGACATGAAAATAACATCTAGAGCTCCTCCCTGCTGGGCTCCCAGCCTGGACTAGTCACCAGTACTCTGGGCCCGCCTTGTTTCTCATCATTGGCAGGCTCAGGTGACTCTCTGTCCTTTTGTCTGGCTTTTGTTTTTATGGGTTGCTTTGTGGATTTTTAAAAATATTATGACATGGTGAAATGTTATGAAGAAAAACAATGTCAGCAACCATCTTTGTATTGCTTTGGTACACAGAACCGTGACTATACTTCCAGAAGTGGAGAGAAAAGAGTTTTTATTAAACTATCAGAAACTACAATGCACACCATAAAGAATGTTTTTAGAACTCAGAGTTTGTTTTTAAATACAACTACATGGGCAAATGTACACATTCTTAATGAGTGTCGGAAACCTGTTTCTCTTTCGGCCTATGCATGTGACTGTGCAAGCATGAGATCTGCTACCAGTGTCCCCATGTCTCCCAAACTTGTAGGGCCATTCTGTCTTTTACCATTAAGTAGCGTAGCTCCAGCCCTCATGGCGTGTGCTGTGAGAAATGTAGCAGCTCTTTTCCTCCTTTTGCTGCTCCTGCAGCTCCCAGGTTTTATATGGGGTTATTTAGTGTCTTCTGGCTCCTTTTCTCCAACTTCCTGCACCTGATGCCCTCTTTCATTCATTCCCCTAAAGCACTAGGAACACGAGACTTTTACTGAGGGTTTGGGGAAATATGTGGAGGCTAGAGCACATCACAATAAAAGGAAATAGAGTTAAAATTGAATATTAGACACAAGTTTCCAAAAAAGTTGCCCATGATATCCTGATATCAGGAAGGTTTTTTTTGTTTGCTTGCTTGTTTGTTTGTTTTTTTTGTTGTTGCTGTTGGTTGGTTTGTTTGTTTTTAATTGTTTGGCCTGCTCTGTGTCCTTTAAGCCTCTTAGACTTCTCAGCTCCCCTCCAGCTCTAAAACCCTTTCTTACCTTCTGTGTTGCTGCAGATTTGAACCCCAGTGGCTGCTCCTTTCCCTGTAAAACACCTGAGTTACTTGACTCTGACCTTGGGTCAGATTGTCCCCCTTTGCAAAACCAAAATTGAAGTTTCAATGAACAGTCTACTGCTGCTTGTCAATTCTTAACACCAAAAAATATGCATAAATTTTGGGGGCACCTGAGTGGCTTAGTGGGTTGAGCCTCTCCCTTCGGCTCAGGTCATGATCCCAGGGTCCTGAGATCGAGCCCCACATCTGGCTCTCTGCACAGTGGGGAGCCTGCTTCCCCCTCTCTCTGCCTGCCTCTCTGCCTACTTGTGATCTCTCTCTCTCTGTCAAATAAATAAAATCTTTAAAAAAATGCATAAATTTTTAAAAATCCCTTGGAACTTCAAAATTATAGTTTGTTTTTTAACATGATTGAATTCCTAGGCAGATTTCTTTAGTTAAAGGTGGGGTGTGGTGGATACAAAGAGTTATTCTCATACACTGGAGAGGATTATTTACAGTTTGGGAAAATTATCAACCAATATCCTCTCAATATTACTGTCCATTCTCAGTCTCCTTCAGGGAGACACATGTAACAAAGTATCATATCACCTACTCTCTTTTCTTTACTTTCCGTCCATTTTCCCTTGTTTTATCTGAATATTTTGTACTGACCAGTTTGCCACTTATTAGTCATCTGTTCAGTATGGCTAATCAGCTCCTAAACCTACCTTCCGATTTCCTAATTTCAAATTATAGTGGTGTTTTTCAGGTCTAGAATTTCCATTTGATTATTTTTATGTGTTCCGGCTCTTTGATAAATTCTTCACATTCTCTACTCTTTTGTACATATTAATTATAATTACTTAAAGTCCTTATCTTACCATGAGATCTAATCTATTTTTATTCCTGCCTTTTGGTCATTTGGTCCTGGTTCTGGCATGACTGGTAATATTTGATCGAATGCCAAACTTGAGTATGAAAATTTTTGAGGCTCTGGATGATCTATTTTCTCCAGAGATATTATATACTTAAAAGTAGCAAATAACATACAGACAGATGCATACATGAGGCAGAACCTCAGTCAGATTCTTTAGGGGTGTGATTTAAGCTTCTCAAGGACTATTCTGTTTCCAATTCCCTTTACTGCTAGGGTCTGGCTCTTTGGAAGATGCCCCTGAGGGATGGGCCTCTGTTAGGTATCCTTCTTTTGTTAGACCCTGTGCTCCTCATATCTTCAGCATTGCTAAAATATTTAAACCTCTACTTAGATTTTTAGCCTCTTAAGCCATGTGCATGATGGTCTCTAGGCCTCTCTCCTGGGCCGGTGCGGCTGAGGATGTGCAAATAATTGCAGGAGATGTTGGGCTCACTTCTTTGTGCTTCCCTGTTTTCCTGCAAGTTCTAGTCACCAAAACAGCCTGAATTCCAGTATTTTGCTCCAGTCCATTGAGACTGACAGAAGCTACAGGCCACTGCTTTCTCTTCTGTCTCTGTGCCCTACGAAGTGAATTGGCGTATATCTCAAGGAAGAAAATCATTGGCGAATTTAGGCATTTTTTTTTTTCTGAAATTTTGGCCTTTCTGTACTAGATGACTTGGTCACTGTCCAATGGCTTCAAAGAGCTTATTTTTGCATTTTATATAAACATTGTATTTGCTTTGAGTAGTGGGCTTAATTTGATATAAGAAATCCA